GGTCCTGACGCTTCTCCATCATGACGGGAGACATGCAGAGATCTAAGGGCCGATGGGGCCTTCTTCCCTAAGAAGCTAAGTCGCAAGAAACTCCTCTGAGGGACCCGGGACAGAGCCGTGGGGACAGCAAGACCTCTGCTCTTCCCTGCACTGCTCTGTCCCAGCATGGACAGGACCGAAGGGGGGAAAGTCATGTCCAGGAAGGGCTGGAGCGGTCAGACCAGAGACCCTCTAAGGCAATGCTGTGCGGGGTGTGGCCGAACCCTGTGCATCCCCATCCCCCGCAACACAGACGCGGGAACAGCCCCTTGAGCTGCCTCGCGCCCTCAGAGCGCACCGCCCGCAGCCTCCTCCCCGCTCCCAGACCATCTGGGCGGTGCGGAGCGCTCCGGCCGCGCGGTGCAAGCCACGAACTACGTGTACAAGGTGGGGCTGTGTGTCACCCTGCAACGTTTTGGAAATTAAAAAACACAACACCACCACCACCACCTGCCACGTATAGTTTGAGAAGAACTAACTCTGGAAGGCAACCCCTTCCTTCTTCAGAGGAAACGCAAGAACAGGGACAGTAAGGGGCTCCCTCACAGCCAAGGACAGATCCCGAGTTGGAGTTTTGGGAACCGAGAGGAAAAGAGACAGGACAGCTGCCCTTTCTCGCCCTCCTCACCGCCCCCGAGTTCCCGCTCCCACACAGCCCTGCCTGCGGGCCCAGAGCCGCCCACCGCGCGCGCAGAAGGCCGTGGTGAGTTCCAGGGGACGTACCCACCGTTTTCCTCTCCAGTCTTATCTCAACCTCGAACCCAACACATGTGAAGCCAACACTTTCCTTTCAAAACTACGCTCCCTTCCCAGCTACTCCGCTTCTCACCCCACTAGTCTCATCTGTAACTGCCAGATCCCAGAGATGCTTGTTTATTGAAAACGTGGCTGGCATGTGGACTCTTCCCTCAAAGCCCCTTGGGGTCCACTGAGCCAGGGATACAAGCAAAGGCACGGCACCAGGCACGGCACCAGGCACGGCACCAGGCACAGCTGGGGGCGAGGGGGCAGGCTGCCAGGGGCAGGTTCGCAGCCCCAAACACCGATCCCATAGCTTTCCCTGTGTGACACACAGACACTGCCCATGCTGGCGTGCCCACACGGATTGATGAGGGGATTTAGCCCGCGTCTCTTGCTTCTAGTGATACGGTGAAGACCCGATAACAACGATTTCTCTTATTTTCCAGGACCCAGCACTGTCCCTGGGACACAGGACATGCCCAGTAAGTGTGGGAAGACAGAGGCAGGGAGAAAGGGAGAGAAAGTGCAGGGGGCCACAGTCCTGGACAGCAGGGTGACTTCTAGATGCTAGCTGTCTGAGCCACCCCTGCTCCCTAGCTACCCAGAGGCTGCCCACACGAACCCGCGAGAAAGCCGACGCCGCAGACGTGCTGGGAACAAAGGGGGCGTCCTCGGCTGCCTGCCAGATGCTCCAGTGCGAGAGGAAGCAGGGCCCGCGAGGTCAGGGTGGGAGAGGACCGGAGAGAGCTGGGAGAGCCAAAGCTGAGCCAGACCCAAGCCCCTCCCACGCTCCCTGCCCCCACCCCAGCCAGCGGAACCACATGCGGAGAGGGGACAGGAACGGGAGGGGACCTGGCAAGACCACTAAGACCATTTCCAGCAGAAACGTCCGTCCCTCTGCAGCTGGACGGAACCCGGGGCCAGGCCCCTCCTCAGCGAGCCAGTGGGAGGGCGGCGGGAGCCCCGTGGGCACTCGGGGTGTGCAGAAGGCTCCCTGGGGCCCACCCCCGTCCATCCTGTCCAGTCCTCTCCCCGCCAGGACATTCAGGAGTTACCAGTTCAGTCACCAGGGAGGAGGAGCTGCGCCCTGGGACTCCAACTCCAGTTCTTGTTATCATTAGGAAGCCCTCCCTCTCCCTCTCTGTCCTCAAACCCGAAAATCCTCTTGGTTGGCTGGTTTCCCGCTCCAGCCTGACATGCTCACCTGCCACCCTGGTATCTCCCCAAGTTCACCTCCGAGATCAAGGGAGGAGCAGGCCAAGCAGGCCAGAGACTAAGGCGGAGTCACGTACAGTGTGTGGATGGCGGCTCCTCGACAAAAGGGCATTTCTGCAGCGGTCAGAGGCAGGGACCCAAGGCAGAGATCCCGGGCACCGTCCCAAAATAGTTTCCAGACGTCTCCGGCCAATTGAGGATTCCCAGGGGGCAGCGCGTGGGAGCAGCGTGGGAGCCCGAGAGCCGGGAGGCACGGTGCTCTCGGCGCTGGGCACTCGCTCCCGCCCGGGCTGCCAAGGAGGCGGCGGCAGCCGCAGCGTGTGCTCTGGCGTGTTCCTTCGCGTATCATGGGTAGACGCATCACACCCCCGACAGCCCAGTCAGTGACAACGTGCGTTGATCAAGCTCAACTCTGCACACCCTACATCATGGATCTTCTTGAAACCCTGGCAGGACACCGCACACAGCAGGTGAGCATATTCCCACTGGCTCCCGAATGCCCGTCACCCCTGGGACTCCCCCGGCCTGCACCCATCCCACGGGACAGGCTGCGGCACAAGACGGGGGGGGGGGGGGGGGGGGCGTCTCACGGAGTCTTGGTCTGACCTCACACAGCAGACAGCTTCCTCCACCACGACCTGCTGATGGACGAGGAGGATGTGGCCACACTGCCTCCTCCTCCAGGGCACCAAACCGGCCCCCAAGGAAAGTCAGGGAAGGGGGCTCAGATCCCCGTGCTCGCCGGCAGTGCCCAAGGCGAGCCGAGAGAGAAAACAGGCGATTCTCCAATGACACAGAACTCCACAGACACAAGCACAGACCCCACCTCGGAGCTTTGAAAACACAGTCAGCTCGGGCTCCACCCTGGGAAGGAGGAAAGACAGATGCGTGCGCAGGGCTTTCTCTGGTTTTCCGAGCAGCCCTGCTCCATGCCCACAACATTAAGACATTAAGGCCGCGGTGCCAGGCCCGCAGAATGAGCAGGGAGAAATGGAGAGCACACTCGGAAAGAGAAGCCACTGGGAGGCCAGGCAGGAGGAGGGAGGGAGGGAGAGAGGGAGGAGGGAGGGGGCGCCTCCAGGAGTAAACAAACCTGCCAGCAGTCCTTCCTCCCAGCAGAGAGGGAAGCTCCGGCTGAGAGGGCCGAGTGCCACCGAGAGGGAGGGAGTGGCCGCCTCGCTGAGCCCATCTGTCCTCACCCCCTGGTCCTGCTCTCCCCAGGGCGGGGCTGAACAGGTGCACGCCATGCCCACAGACCTCAAAGCACCGTCCCCATCCGCAGCGCCCGGCCAGGGGAGGAAGTGGAGGTGGGACCTGGGGATGAGCTCACGCTTTCTCCTCCCCACCCACGGCATCATCCATCATCGCCAGAATCAGCCACCCTCCGCTTGCCTCAGGGGCCTCCCACGGTCTGGTCCCAGGCGATCACCCACGCCTCCCAGCCTCCCCGAGGCAGGCCCAGCTCCCCAGCGGAGCCAATGCCACCTGGCCCGTCTCCGTCCCCCAGAAGCTGCTCCAGAAACAAAAACTCTTGTCCCCCCCTCCCCTGAGGACTTCCTTGCCTCAAGTTCCTTGGGAAGAAGCCAAGGAACCACCCTGGCTTCTGATCCACCCCGCCGCCTCGCCCAGGAGCCCCCACCCCACGCGGGGAGGCAGAGTCCCTCCCTGCCCGTGTCCCCACCCAGGCAGGGAGGCGGCACCTCCACGCAGCTTCCCACGGCTTTCCCAGGAAGCGGGAGGCGTGCTTCCAGGGCGGAGCACCTGGGGACAAAGTAGATCATCCACCTGCTGCCCAAGCAACCAGATCCCGCCCCCCCCCCCCAGCTCCCCACAGGCTCTGGGGGCCGCGGGGAAGGAAGGCGGGGTGGAGACGGGCTAGCGTGGGCGCCCTCCCTCCTTAGGAAAGTCCCATCTGGTCCTGCCCCCGCCCACCTGTCCCCCAGCCTCTCGGCTCCGAACTTGAGAGGCAGCCCCACAGAGTTGCCACCCGCTTTGTTTCCCCTGCCGTGGGCCACGGGAGGATATGCTGAGTAATCCCAAACTCACCGCGGGCCCCCAGCCCTGACGGCGGGGAGGACGCCCGGGGAAAAGGACGGATCCCGGTCCCTGTCAACGGGGGAGGAACGCCTGTGTCTCCCAGTCACAGACCCTGCCCTGTCCCAAATACCTCAGCCCGACCTTCAGACAGACAGCCGCACGCAGCAGCTCGGCGCCCCTTCCCTGCTTCCGACTCACCTGGTAACATTCCCGTCTCGGCTCCCCAGACACAGACACCGAGCCACAGAGGAACGGCGGCCTCCCGCCGGCTTCCAGGGCATGAGGTTGCATCAGCCCCCACCCTACCCAAAATATCCTCACCCCCACCACCTCCTCTCCTCTCCAGCCATCTCCATGGTGACAGCAGCATGACTAATGACACCCTATCAGCTTCAGGCTCAGGAGCACCATTTACCCTCCCTCTTACCCCGCGCCACCCCGCCCAGGGACTTCTGCAGATTGGATGCAAACCAACAGTGTGCCAGGGACAGGCTCCCACAGACACCGCCAGGGGTTGCATGTCTTTTACACACACACACACACACACACACACACAACACAAAACAAAAAAACACACACAACAAAACACAACACAGCTCCACAAGCCCAGTCCCAACTGCACCCAAACCATCCAGCTGAGAAAGCAGAAAGAATCCAAACAAAACCCACACACAGGCCTGAGAATTCATTGGCCGCCCACACCCCCCGCCACCCCTCCCCCTCGGCGGCTGCTGCACACACAGTGGGAGATTAAGGGATCACCCGAGGGGACCCTTTATTTTTATCCTGCCTCTCCTCCCTCTCCCTCTCCCCCCACCCCTTCTCTCTCTCTCTCTCTCTCTCTCTCTCTCTCTCTCTCTCTCTCTCTCTCTCTCTCTCCTTCTCTCCTTCTCCCTCTATCACGCACACGCGCGCGCGCACACACACACACACACACACACACACACACGCACACGCACACAAAGTACCTTGACAGCGGCCCCTTGTCCCCAGGGCCCGGCTCCTTCACCAGCCTTTATCTCCACCTGCAAGAGAAGCCAGAGAGACAGGCGGGTGAGCCGGGCTGACGGCGGGAGCGGCTCCGGGTCCTCGGGCTGCACCCCCCGCGCCGCTGCAGGGGCGGCGGAGGGCGGAGGGCGGGGGGCGGCCGCTCGGGGAGAAGAAAGGACCGCGGGGACCATCTTACAGCTCCAGCTGCCGCCCAGGCGCGCGGCGGAGGGGAGCAAGCGAGGGCCTTCCCGGGTGTTTTCTTTTCCCGGCTCCCTCTCCCACCCTCCCCCCCAGGCCCCGGAGGCCCCTGGCCCTCCTCCTACGCCTCCCCGCCCGGCCTGCGCTACCTCGGCCGGCCTCCCCCGGTGCACGGGCCGGCGGGCCTCCCATTATCCGCCGGAGGGAGAGGGAGCCGGGCGCGCGGAGGGAGGCTCTGCAGAGGCGGCGGCCAGCTGCCGCCCGCTCCCCTCCCCTCCCCTCCCCTGCCCTCCCCGCGGGGCTGGGGTGCAGGGCGGCGCGCGCGCCAGCCAATCCCCGCGGCCGGCCGCGCGGGGGCGGGACCTGCCCAGCCGGGGGCGGGGGCGCCGCGGAGGGAGCCGCGTCCATCCGCCCAGCGGCCCAGGCCCCGCCGCTCTCCCAGCAGGCCGGGATCCCCGGGCACCTCGCCTCCTCCTGGCAGGGGACCCCGATGGTAATACCAGCGGCATCCTCGGCCTCTCCAGGGTCCAAGGACAGGCCACGCCTTGGGGGTCCAGCCGCAGCTGGTGTGCAGGGGCTTCCTCTCCCACCTCTGGGGTCCACCCCGCTCCCCACCAATACCAGCCTCCCCCAGGGCCGGCGCGGTAAGAGCTGGAGGAGCAAGAGCCCCTCCGGTCTGCACAGAAAAAAGGAAGCCTGACCGTGTGAACCTTCACCCCCGCTCTGTCTGCAGATAAGAAAACAAGGCAAGCCCAGGGACGGAACTTACCAAGGGCGACGCAGCGCAGCGAGAAAGCAGCAGCGGAGCTGGGACCCCGGGCCCGCCGGCCTGGCTTTAAATACCAGGCTCTTAGCCTTAGGCAGCTCTGCTCCTCCCTCCGGCGCCCACCTCCGAACGCAGACTTCGGGGAGCCCACACTGGCTGTGGCCCAAAGCCTCCCTCCCCGTGCCAGCCTGGCCCTCCCCCATGCAAACACCCACACCCTCACCATACCCCCCCATCCAGATGGCCTCCCCATCACCACCACCACCGCGGATACTGTCTCCTCTCCTAGAAGCACCCCCACTTTCTCCTCTGCCCCCCCCCATCAAGGCTTCCCATCCCTGGGAAAGGCAGAGGACCCCGAAACAATGACCTCCAGTTCCCAATTCTGAGCCTCTGAAAGCTGCAATGCCCAGGACGCGAAGAGCAGGAGAACAGAGCGGGGAGAGGACGGCCCCCCATTCCACTCCTGGATTTAGTTCCTGACATCCCTGGGCACGTCCTGCTCTACCCCCTCTCCCCTCCCTGTGGCTGAACACCCAGCGCCCCCACCTCCCAGGAGGGGCCGTCACAGACTCCGGTCCCCGCGTATCCGTGAGGATCCCGAGCGGAAACGCAGCGCGCCGGGGGCGCACGCTGTGGGCTGGCGCGCTGTGGGCTGCGGATGCTGCTCGCTATTCTCGCTAGTTTCTGGGAGAACGCGTCCTGCGCTGCTTCTATCTCACAGAGGAAGCAGCGAAGGTCCCGGAAAAGCGGCTCGGGCTCTTTAGGGTGTGTGACTGCTGTTTTATGGGATGTGCTCCTATATCAAGTCTCCCACAGGTACCCCGTTGCTGCCCAAACCTGGTGCCCCATGGCCATGGGGGTCCTCGGCTGGGACAAGCTGCCTCAGGAGGGACGGCAAAGCTCCCATCTATCTGGTGAGGAGGTTCCGGGAGGCCCGGGGCCCACCCCTGCATCAGCCCGGGGACGGAGGGCAGCTCTGCTAGGCTCCTCTCCAGGCCAAGTGACAAGGCAGGGCAAGGACCAGTGTCCCAAGTCATGGCTCCTGATGGGAACACAGGCGTCTGCACCCCACAGTCCTTCCCCTGCCCAGGCCAAGAGAAGCCCGGCCTGCATCCTGGCCCCCAACCCCTGGCCCACCTTCCCACCCCGCACACATCCTGCGTGCCGCTCGGAGAGTAACAATTAGCGCCGCGGCTGCCGCGGCCGCCAGTTTATCAGGCTCCTGCTAGGTCCCAGGCTCCGTGCCAACCGTGCCAGTGGGAGCATCTCATTCGAATTACTCCACACACAACCTGGTCTCTTCCGGGGAACGGACGCAGACACGGACGTTGTTGATGGGCCCACAGAGCACACGGCGGGTGAGCGGGAGGCCAGCATCCCAATGCAGGCCTCTCTCCTCCCAGTCCTCCAGCCCCTCTCTCTCTCTGCCAACCCCAGGAAAACGCAAAGAGGGATGGGGTCGCTTGAATTCAGCCCCCTCCCTGTAAGCTATGGTCCGAGAACAGAATCGGAGACTCCGAGATGCTGCTGCGTGCCTGGGTTCCCCACCCCCTTCCCCCCACGTGGAGCGAGGGGCACGGCTCCATCTGAAAGTCGCGTCCCTCCGTCCCTCCGTCCCTCGGCCACGTTCCCAGCTCCTCCAGCCTCTGTGAGCATCGCCCCTTCTCCCGGGGCCTCTCCCCGCGCACCAATCACAGCCAAGTTCAGTTATTTATTTATACGGCCGTCCTCCCCACGTGGGCGGGGGGCCCGTCTTCCCCACTTCACTAGGCTCTGCACGGAGCTGGAATGTGCTGAGCGGAGCTTCTAGCAAGGAGGGAGGGAAGGCAGGCAGGGGGCTGGGCGGCACGGAGGCCTCTCTCCTGGTTGGCTTTCTCTCTGCGATCCCCAAGTACCAGAGGGACACCTCCTCTCCCGGAGGGCAGGACCTGCCACCACTAAATGAGAGCCGAGTCTCAGCCTGCTCAGCCCAGCCCATGTCTTCCACACCAGCCTGCAGGAGCTGCCCACCCCTCATTGCTAACTCCATCCCACCTCCTGCCGACACCCCAAGAGGAGCCCATGCCCCCCCCACCCCCCAGGAGGCCACCTGCTCCCATCTCTGCCCCACTGGCCTCTGGCCTTTTCCGAGGCATCTGGAATGCCAGGACTCCAGCAGAGTCAGTGTCCACAGCCAAGCTGTCCCGTCTCCATCCGCCCCTTCCTTCCTCTGCAGCTTCACCGGGTCTGGCCCAGAGGCACCTGGGACCCTTTTGTATGGTGTCCCCATACACCTTCCACCACGCCCTCTAGTCCCCACTGCACTCCCGGCGGGAGGAATGGGGTCACAGACCTCCCCGGGAGAGGTGAGTAAATTCGCTTGCTCAGAACACACAAAATCCCCCCACAGTGGGAACCCCAGGCACACGGATCGCCACGGGTCACAGACACAGAGACTAGTGGGTGGGAACACATTCGGACACGGACCAAGCACCAAACCCACCAAGCCCGCGCCAGGCACCGCACTCGGAGCAAACGGAACCGTCTCTCATTTAACCCTCAAAACCAACCGATGAGACAGGCATTACTCACGCCCATTCTAGAGATGGGGAAATCGAGATACAGAGAGGCTAAGTACCTTGCCCCCATTCTCACAGCTAGAAGAGGACTAAGCAGGGCTCTGGATTCGTAGCTGTACCGCCCATGCTGCTCTCTGTAGCCCTAGGATTTTCCTATCAACCTACCTCTTCCAGGGGCAGTGGGTAGGCATCCTTCTCCTCCCAGGCCATGGCTGTGTCCTGAAGGAGGTCACGCCCCACAAAGCTTCATTTCAACGCTCCGCACAAGCCCGCTTCCTCCAGGAAGCCCTCTCGGGTTACCACGGTGCTCTGCCAGCCAACAGCACTTCTACCGTTTCTCGTCTGACACCCGGCGGCGCGGCTGCCTGTCTCTCCGCGTGTCCCGCCTCTCCAGCCAGAAGGGCTGGAGCCGGCCTCTGCAGAGCCGCCGCGGGGTTTTATCCCACGTCCGCACACCGGGGCACGTGGAAGACTGTGGGGGAAGTCCGTGGCCTTCCTCCCTCCCTTCTTCCTCACACCTCCACCTTCGGAGCCTATGTTTAAGCCCCGGTGTCCACGCATCCACTTCCACCCCGGTAACTGCAGCCCGTCACACGCATCATCCCCTATATTTGAAACTCTTCGTGGTTGTCATGGGAACTGCCTTCGCCTTCATTCACTGATCAGGCCTCACAATTAGCTTTGGCAGCGGAAGTCTGTGTCAACAGCAATCTCAGAAAGGAGGAGGAGGAGGAGAAGGAAGAGGAGGAGGAGGAGGAGGAGAAGAAGGAGGAGGAGGAAAAGAAGAAGGAGGAGGAAAAGAAGAAGGAGGAGGAAAAGAAGGAGGGGGAGGAGGAGAAAGGAGGAGGAGGAGAAAGAGGAGGAGGAGGAGGAGGAGGAGGAGAAAAAAAAGGAGGAGGAGGAGGAGGAGAAGGGAGGAAGAGAAGGAGAAGGGAGAGGAGGAGGGGGAGGAGGAAGAGGAGGAGGAGGGGGAGGAGGGAGGAGGGGGGAGGAGGGGAGGAGGAGGGGGGGAGGAGGGAGAAGAGGAAGGGGAGGGGGAGGGGGAAGAGGAGGAGGGAGAGGAGGAGGGGGAGGGGGAGGAGGAGGGGGAGGAGGGAGGAGGGGGGAGGAGGGGAGGGGAGGAGGAGGAGGGGGGAGGAGGGGGGGAGAGCAGCAGCAACAGAAGAAAAGGTGCTCCTCCTGGGAAATACAGCAGAACCAGACTGAATCCAGCAACATCACGGGAAGAGTCTGAGCCAGACGGCAACTCTGCCTGCACGTGTCGCTGCCAACAAACAGCCCGCACCGGGCTGCCGGGCTCTGTCCGCACCCGGACTCCGCCTGCCCCCAGATGCCCGTGAGGAGGACTGTGGTCTGGGCGCCTCGCCAGGGCACCTGGGGCCAACCGTTCCAGAGCCCAGGTCAGTGACCCTGGGGGTGAGGAGGTGGGTCGGGAACGCGGAGCGGCAGGAACCCGGGAGCGGGCTCTCGGGAAAACCTCCAAGGAGAGCCGTGTCCTCCCACACCCCTG